ATATATATATATATATATATATATATATATCACCTTATTTGCTACCTCATTCATGAAATTTCCTTTCCATCTTGCATCTAATGTTGCTAATCACGCTTAAAAATATGGAAGAGATCTTTGCGTGTGATTCTTGGAGAGAAAGAAACTTATTTATTTGGATTTTCAAATTCTTATATGTGCTTGGCTAGTTTTGGTTAGTATATGATTAATGGCTAGAAATAGATAAGTTGAGACTTATTTGGGATATTTCTGTAAAATTTCCGGCATGGATCAACTGTGTGGCATCCTACACTAGCCTATAGGCTAATATTTGTTGTGGATTATTTGCACCATCTAGCCTTTTTTAAGGCCGCTATTTGAATCTTATCTCCCGTTAATTTAGTTGGCTAATTTTTTTAAAAAGAATCATTCAATTACATATAGGGAGCGTTTGGCATGAAGGAAAACTTTTTTCGGAAAATATTTTTCGATTTTTTCATATTTGGTTGGTTTAAATGTTTTGGAAAATATTTTTCTTATGAACTCATTTTCCTTAGGAAAATGTTTTCTTTATCAAGAGAAAGAAAAATATTTTCAAAACTCCTTCTCAACCTTCCCCACCCCACACCCACCTACCCAACCCCACACGACCCCCTCTCTCCAAAAAGGCTTTATTTTTCAAATTTCAATTTTTTTTACGTCACCACCCATCCCGCTATCCCCCCCCCCTCCAGAAAAAATTATTATTTTTACTTTTTTTTTGTAATTTCAAATTTCTGTTTTTCGTTTTCTGCACCACCCACCCCGCACAAAAAAGTTTTTTCTTTTGTAATTTTTAAATTTCTGTTTTTCGTTTTTCTACACCACCCATCCCCCATCCTCCTCCCCCACTGTCCCCCACCCCGCACAGAAAAAAATCTATTTTTTTATATTTTCAGTTTTAGTTTTTTTTATCTTTCAGCTTACAGGTTTGAAATTTTACAAGTTCCAAAGTTATGAGTTCGGAGGTTTATGTGTTTGGAAGTTTACGGGTTTAGAAATTATGAAGTTTATGGGTTCGAAAGTTGGCGGTTTCGAAAGTTTAGCGGTTCGGAAGTTTATGAAATTTGTGGGTTCGAAAGGTTGTTGGTTCGAAAGTTTATGGCTTCATGTCTATTGTATCTTAATTATTTATGAATACTCTTGAGAAGTTATTTTTCTTAATTTGCATACCAAACACCGGAAAATGAATAAGATTACTACTTGTTTTAAAAAATATTATCCACGGAAAAAAATATTTTCTGTTATACCAACCACACCCTTAGAGATAATGTTTATCTCACTGTGCTAATGATTACCTTTAAAAAAAATGCCATTTGTGCAAATACGCTATTGTTGCTCCAACAGCTTGCGAAATTGTCTCCTATCATCCAAGCTTATAGTTGAAACAAATTAAATATGGAAAAGTCGTAGAATAAATAGAAGGATTGTGTCAACTTTCAAGAAGAGGGAATTGATAAATACAATGAATCTATCCTGGCATTAAGCTTAATATCCCCACCTACATGATTGGAATGATATTCATCAATGTCTATTTTCTATTTTTAGCCTTCACCAACTCTTTAGCTTTCACCAACTCTTTATGTAAAAAAATGTAATCAACCATTTGCTACAATTATCTCTATAATATAGTAGCAATTCAATTGTTAATTTCTTCAGTTGGTTTTTAAAGAAAGCATTTAAGATATGCATTTCATTCACCCATTACTGAAGAAGTGATGAAAGGAAGTGCATTCATTAAAAAAAAGGAAGTAACATAATGTTACAATTAGCATTATACATAGAACGTGGGCATGAAAAAGATTCCAAAACAAACACTTGATGTGGTATTTATTCAAGTAGTGCAAGTTTCACCTCCCAAAAGAGTCATTACAATATGTCGAAGCACAAAAGTGAAGAAATTATTTTGATCTTAACATTTCTTTTACTTATCTCAAACTTATGTTGGTTGATGAGTCCTAAGAGAGTGAAGGAGTGTAACAATGGCAAGAAAAATATACAAATTTTTCTATTAGCAGGGCAAAGCAATATGGCAGGACGTGGCGGAGCCATTAAAAAATCTATTGGAGGAAATACTACCGAAGTATGGGATGGTTTTCTGCCTAAAGAATGTAAACCTAATAAAAAAATCTTACGATTTAATGCTGCTCAAAAATGGGAAGAAGCACATGAACCTATGAATTATGGGATTGATTGCTTAGTAAGTTGTGCACTTGGCCCTGGAATGGCTTTTGCTAATGAAATTCTTAAAAAAGATTCAGAATTTGGGGTTATAGGTTTAGTACCTTGTGCTAGAGGAGGAACTGGTTTGTATAGGTGGAGACGTGGGTCTTATGCTTATGATGATTTGATTAGAAGAGCAAAATCAGCTGAAAAAGATGGAGGAACTTTTAGGGCATTACTTTGGTATCATGGTGAGGGTGATATGAGAGCAAAGAATGGGTCAAGTTCGTATAAGTCCAACTTTGAGAAATTTGTTCATGACTTGCGTACTGATTTGCAATCTCCTAACCTCCCCATTTTGCTGGTACATATTTCTTCTCATTTTCTTAATCATACTATGTTAATAAGATGTTTAATCTTGATCTATGATTTTTTTCAATTTTTTCTATTACTGTATCGGGCGGTCTCTCTATCCCCAGGGTAAGGGTAAAGTCTACGTACACACTACCCGCCTTAAATTCCACTTGTGGGACTTAACTGGGTTGTTGTTGTTACTATATCGGGGATTAGGGAAAGGGGAAGGGAAGGGTAAGAAATGAGTATTGAACCCGCACTTGTGTGAGAGACTTTCACCGGTATTACTAGCTCGACTATTACCCTAATTGGCAGTTATATGTGATATAATTTTGGATTCTAACTCATGCTTTATGTGTGTGGAACATCTCAAAGTTCACCTCAGGATCGACTTTCTGTTTATTATAAGAGTAATAAAAGTTCAAGAATTTAGGTTATATTTTACCCTATTAGTGTTGCTTGAACAGTGATGGCTGGTAATAAAATTGCCAAGTTTTAATATTAATATTTTCTTGTATAAATGACTTATTTGTGCAAATAGTTCTACAACGTCAATATATAGATCTTAAACTCGTTTTTTAAATTATATCGCAGGCCGTCCTACCATACCCGAAAAAGCCATTTGAAGGGCCATATATAGAAGAACTGAGAGCAGCTCAATTGGGAATTAACATCTCAAATGTGATCAAGTTCGACGCAAAGGGACTAGAAATGAGTAGGGATGGCATTCATCTCACTACGCCAGCACAAGTTCAACTTGGTCGTATGTTTGCACATGCTTTTTTGAGCCTAAAGAATTTCAGATCGAGGACAACCTTTAGTTTCTACAAGTTTTTCCCTTCTAATATATTCTCTTAGATCTTTCTGCTGATCCTTGTAGAACTAGGTGTCAAATAAACTTTCATACCACGTTCATATATTATATACAGTAGTACAAGCAGTCCAGCTAATGTGTTTGAGTGCATCAAATTAAAGATGCATAATATGTTTACTTTCAACACAATTTGGTTTCTTCTTTATGCATTTATGTTCATATCCGTCATGTATCAACTGTTCCTTAATGGAGTCCGAGTCTGATAAAATCACACAGAAAAAGGACGATTTTCTGGTTTACTATAGAAATAATTAAAGTAGCTATGATAAGTATAATTGCTCTTGGGATTGGGAGCTGAAATTAAAGCACCAGTTGCCAATTACAATAACTTCAACACCTTTTGTTTTCGTTAGAATTTAGTTAATCGAAACTCACTATTTTCACTTTTTCAGTGTGGAGAAAAATATGTATATTTTAACTCACTAAAATTTCAATAAATATGCAATCTCTAAAGAAGACTCACGACCACACCCTACCACAAGAAAATAGTTTATAGTATAAACTATTTTATACTCCCAGGTATCTGTAGTACCATGCAAGTAACTTCAGTTTCACATATTATGTCTCATATGTTTCTCTTGAAGTAGAGTTTACACTTTTATTAAATATACAGATTATAATTAAGAACGAATTCTGAAACCAAAATGACCTACATGTCCATCCAACATAGTGAATAGGCAGAATTATATGTGGAAAGCAATCATAGCAAAAGAACGTTGTTTGCAATAAATTATGTGTGACACAAAAATTAGTTGCAACATAATATAAGTATGAAGAAATATAATTTTATTGATAAAATGATGCGGGTACAATTCTGTTTGTCCTTTGATTTTTCCTCCGAATTGTTCTCCGTGATTAGAGGGCTGGATCAGCGTATTCTCGAACGTAGGATGATACAAACTTCTCTGGATTATTTAATCTCCATGAAAGTCGATCATTGTATAAATATTCTTCTTGAAGTACTTGATTATCAAGAAGAACATCTATTGATCACTGCTTTAGTTTATGCCTTGATCCCTTTGTGAATATCCCGAGATTTATGGGATTTTTTAGACGCCTCTTCAAGGGAATATGTATCCCTTTATATAGATGTGAGTTAGGGTTTAGGGTAGAGTAATCTCCAAGAAATCCTAATAGACTCCTAGAATTTCAAGAGTCCTACAGTATCTTTAATTTAGGATTTGGCTTGATCCGTTAAAATTCGATGTCTACAAATGCCCCCTACTTCTAGGTTTGTCGGGGTGTAGGTATAGCTCCCAAACGCACACGCAAGTATACGTGGTCGTACAAGTAATAAAATGATAAGTCGAGTGTCGAACCCACAGAGACTTATATCAACTACCCACTAATTCACCAATATTGTTATTCAGTCAAGCTAAATTCGTATTCAAGAATGTGATTATACTAAACTATAATTCTAAGTTATAACTAAATATCAAGCAGTAAAATGATTGTTATGTATTCAATAGAGATAAATATTCCAGGGTTGTCATCGGTTCACCAATCCTATTGTGTCCTAGTTAACTCTCCCTCTCATACAATTCTCTCATGGTTTCTAATTAATCGATAATTGCTCTCATAGCCTTCTCCCGAAGTACTACTCGCCTATTCAAAATAGATCAACGCCTATATTCTTATGAAATCAATCTATTAAGAACGCATTAAGATTACGATATTTAATTAAGTACGGTGACTAGGTATATTCCTATCCTAACCACAAATCCGCCCCCTCCCCCCCTCCAAGAGTTAAGATCATGGTCTCTTCAATTCTTCTCTAATCTAAACATGGCTTTCCCAAGCATAGCATAGATAGTAAATAGAACCTAACTGCTGGCCAGACAATTAAGCAATTAATCACAGAACTAAAGAAACAACCATATATTAGTGAATTGTAATCAAGTTTAAGTCAACGTTAAACAACAATATTCATCGCTAAATCACAACCCTAGAACTATGGGTTTTTAGCCACTCATGATATTAAACAATTTCATAAGTTTGGATAATTGAAAATACTAAGAAAAGATGAAGAAATTTGAGATGTTCTTGCTCTCGGATGTTTCTTGTGTGTATCCTCTCTCAAAAGTGGCGTCTCTCTTCACAAATAGGTTTACTCTTGCTTTTATACGTGTTGGGTAGGTCTAGGGCCAAAATAACCGTGTCCCGGGCGAATTTGGACAAGTTTCATGTCACTGGCGCCCTCCATGGTGCTGTGATATTTTTTGCTACTGGTTTTGGCGCCACAGGTAGAGCTAGGCGCTGCCTGTGGCACTGCAATGTCCACTTCTCCTGTTTTCGTCCGTTTTGGCTCTAATTTCGCACATTTCGCCCCCGATTGCTCCCGTATCATTCCTACACATAAAAACATCTCAAATTAATATAAATCAATATATTTCACATCCTAAATCCACGAAACAAAAGTAAAATATGAGGTGATATACACACAGATATATATATATATATATATATATATATATATATATATATATATATATATATATATATATATATATATATATATATANAAATATGAGGCGATATACATAAAAATATACATACTTTAAGCTAAACATCAACACCCCACACTTAGACTCTTGCTCGTCCTCGAGCGATGGGACTATCAAATAAACCCCAACTATGTACAAGTCACACTCTACCCTTGATTATGATCAATACTGGCACACAAGCATGAACATACAAAATTTTACATTCTTCCCGTTTAAGCATGCCCAAGTATCACATTTCAATTCAATCAATTCCAACAACCTATTTGTCAACACCCACCCTCAAAAGCTGACTTGTAACCACTAAGCACTCTCAACTCACGCACTTACCCAACAAGAAAGTTTATAACATTACCAATCATTCATGAGTTCATGTGCCCTCACCAACAAACAAAAGAGTGAATATAGATTAATCCACACATTCAAATATGCTTTTGAATATAGATTAAGGACATCACACAATTGAACAAAATTCGCTCACTCTCACAAAGAATTCATATGCATCCCGTGATCGTACCATAAGCTTGCCGGTAGTGTATATCTCTACTGATTTAATCTAGCCAATTGTAGGATCAATTAGGACTTTAAGGTTGTAATGTAGGCTAAGGGACGGGTATGATACAATTAGAAATAGTGACTAACCCTCCTAAGCACGTTAATACACTACATTCACAATTCAAGCACATATTCTTCTCAACCAATTCACTCGTCACAAACCATATGCAATATAGCCCTTAGTTTCATTAAGAACTTCTATACTCCTACTAGCACAAACTATTAAGAATTGGAGGTGTGTATTTTCTACATACTTTACTATCAATTTTTCTTTTCTTGCAATTTTTCTTTCTTCACATACTCCATACATTAATGTTCATCGGCTAGTGGCTTTTAAATTTAACTTTAGTGCACCAGCGGGCCCTTCCATGGTTCCACTCAAAAGCTACTCCCTAATCTCTCACCTTACTTCTTTTAGCGACTAAGTGCCTTAGGAGGTAAAGGTTCAACAATCTCAATTAAGAACAAAATAGGGGTATGGCTTGTAATTTGGTTGCCAAAGAAAAGGTCTATAGGCTCAAAGGGGCTAGCAACGGAAAATTTTATTTTTATGTTACAAGCACATCTATGACCAAGCGAGAAAATGCCTACGTCATCTCCTAGATTAGCACAACTTACAATTTCGCTTCAATTAACACACTACACAGGATAGCATAGAAGATCACAAATCCTCACACACACATTGCACATGACTCACTCACAACGGTTTTGTTCAACTCTCAAGTCAAGCAAGCACACATAATTGAGAAATTTAAGCAATATTGCACTATGTGGCATACAAGTCAAACAACTGAGAAAAGGCGTCACAAAATAGGCTATTTACTTCACCTAGGTGTCACATTTCAAACCAAATACACGGAAGATAGAATGTACATCATAGCCTAATGTGCCAACAACATGTCAATAAGTATCTTAGAGCAACTCAGTTTCTTCCTAAACTACTCCTAAAAAAAATAAAGTACCCGGTTCGAGCTAGATTCTTGGAAAAGAACCAGCGACCAAAGAAAAACCAAGGAATACTACCTAACTATTCTAAAAAAAAAATCTTTTTGGTGTTTTTAATCGGACTTTTATCCCTAAAAAAAATTGTCCAAAAGATCCATCGTCGGGAAAAGTCCGAGCTTTTTCTAAATTTTTTTACCTAGACTATGTCTACTACTAGTTCTAAAAGAAAAACTTAATAATAAAAATAACAATTTTATACAATTACACTTCGGAAAGTAGTTTTCCCACCCCACACTTATATTATGCATAGTTCTCGATGCATGATCACAGAGAAAAATATTAAACAAGGGTGAGAAATACTCTCTGAGACCCTCTTCGGCCTAGTAAGCACATGATCCTCAATATTAAGGGTCGAGACGACCCCAGACTTAAGCTCAAACATGCTTCTCAGCTTCAACTTCGGGTACTCAGACTTCCCTACTCTGCAAAATAAAAACAACACAAAACTTGACACTATATAAAAAAAATAAAAAAAAATTAAAATACAGGCTGGGTTGCCTCCCAACAAGCGCCTTATTTATAATCGTGGCACGACTCTGCTACTCTGCTCAGGCTGGGCACTTTCTATTCTTCTTTCTTTCATGAAGTCTAGCCTTTTTTCACGCTCTTAGAGGGTCTCCTCTTTCATCTCTGGATCTTTCCTCAATCATTTTTACACATTCAGCTTGCAACACTACCTCATCTAACTCCGTTATCCCGTCGGGATCACTACAATTCACATAAGGACTCTGCTCTATCCCCTTCGATTCTACCACAGTAATCATGCACAAGTCCTCATAATGCTTAGGGAGCTTAAGTGCCTTGTACACATTAAAAGTGACTTCCTCATCGTCTACTCTCATCTTTAACTTCCCTTCCCTCACATCAATAATCGCTCCACCAGTAGCTAAGAATGGTCGCGCCAAAATAATGGGACTTTCTCATCTGCCTCGTAATCAAGCACAATAAAATGAGCAGTAAGAATAAGCTTTCCCACTCGAACTAACACATCCTCAATAATTCCTTCTGGCATAACTAGTGACCTATCTGCTAACTATAAAGTGATTGTAGTAGGTCTAAGCACCCCCAATCCGAGTTGCTTGAACAAAGAGGATGGCATCAA